CTTTAAGTACTATAAGTAGTTTATTACTATAAAAGTATGTCTTCAATACAATAGCCAGAATCACTCAGCATTACTATTGCAACAATGCCTATAACCCTTGCATTGCACAATAAAGGGCCACACAAACGGTAAACTACATTAAAGATCCACATCAAGCAAAAAATCTAAACACAAAATAACTGCTAATAACATTTACACTATCATAAGTATTTGTGCTTGCTGCAGTTAAAGCATGTTTTTGTTTTGTTTTTTAATGTCAAAACATTTTCACTTGTATTTACTGAGAATGTCATTATAAGTATTTCATATACACAAATTATGTGACATAATAAAATAAGAAAAGAATGTATAAACATCCCACTGCATGTTGTTTGTACCACAATAAACGACCAAAATAAGTTCTAGGAAATGTTTATTTATTTATTTACCATTTTCTGGTGATACTTAATGCAAACAAGTATTCAGTTAGTTGAAAAATGATCAACTTATAAATCAAAGCTGTCTTTAAAAACTCAATCACTGAACTTTTAAGTATAATTCTGTGTTTGAAATCATATCCAAAGTCATCCAAAAACAGAAGTAAACCTGAGTACCTCTGTTCACATATTTCTTTCAACTCCATTTTTTACGGGTGACAATTTAAAGAAAAACACCAAGAGGAAAAATGTCATTTTCATTCATAATGCCTAAATGCATGAACTCAAGATTAATGAATTGATTGTGGGGTTTTTTTTTGCTGTCACTGCCTTTTATCAAGCGTCTGTCACCTTAAACACAATAAAGACGAGATGATGACAAACATGGCGAATCCACCCCTGTTTTTGTGACCTTGTGTTTTCGCTGCGATGCATTATAAAACTTATTTTAGTGATAATTAGAAATAATTTTAGCTTCTCAAAGTTTGACTTCAGTAATAAAAAAAATCCTGTGTATTCAGCTAGACTGCGTTTTTGTAAAGGCCACAGCATATAGCAGCTTTTTTTTTTAACCAGGGAGAGAAGCTGATGCAGGGAAGTTTTTTTAATTATTATTTTGAAATGCACCACAGGATGCTCTTCTTCTCAATCTGTCTCGCTTATTTGACGCTGATTTGAAGGTGCAGCACCCCCCATTACTCCTATCAGAGCTGCCGCTCCTGCCAGGGTCCTGTAACTCTTCTCCTCCTCCTCCCATCTCCTACTTTTTGATGGGGGGTGCAGCGGTGAAGTCACAGTGATGTCATTTTAGGATGTGAGAGTCGGGGGCAAGGTGAGCTGGTTTTGCGGTGAGTGGTGTCCCCCTCCACGGCCAGCGTTGCCTGATCAGAGGCGCGGAGCGGCGAAAGATGATCATCGCCACCGGCACCAATTCAAGCTCCGACGCGCTCTGTCCCAATCCTCCTGCTCAGATCTCGGGCTATGGGGCCTTGATCTATCTTGATCCCAAAATAAACCTTTACCACCACCATGCCAAAGGACAGAAATCAAGAAGAGTTGCATTTTTAGGGCAGGTAACTTTGACCACGTGCCCCAAAGGTAAACTGGATGGCCATTGCGCAAAGGTGCCACTACAGTATGTCCAGCGGGGCCCGGACGCACTGGACGCTACTGGCAGTTATTGTACTGTGGACTTCTCTCTGGGGAATCGTTTCATCTTATCCGATTCCGAGCAGGACTAATGCGACTTTACTGGAAAAGAAGTGGGAGACCCTCTTCTCCCGCTCCTACTTGGGTATAACTGGGGGGAAATCGGAGCTGAACTGGGAGAGTGACTATTTGCAGGGCATCAAAAGAGTGCGACGACTGTACTGCAACGTGGGCATTGGGTTTCACCTGCAGGTGCTCCCGGATGGCAGGATAAGCGGTGAACACAATGAGAACCAATACAGTGAGTTGCATCCGGCAAAGCACTGGACCCAGAAAAAGAGTGTAACCCTATGCGCAGGGCTGTGCAAAAGTTAGAACCGCTCACTTATCTTGCATGATGTTTAATAAGAGGTGTCGGCATGGTTGAAAGTTCCCGAAAGCAAAACCAGTGTACTGAGCTTTGCATCCGTGCAGTGCGAAATATCCTCCCAAACCAAAAACATGACACGAATGCTTGAGCCAGTTTAGACGCTAACTTATTTTTACCCTCCGTCCCCTACAGCAGGGCACCCTCCCGTCCCTCTCAGCACGCTCTCGACTACACTCGCATCGAACATGCAAATAGCTGATAACTGCAAAGGGGCTAATTGAGCAGGGAGAGCATCATCCAGTCGCAATGCACCTGCAAGGTTACACCCATCCCTGCTGCATAGGCCAGTTACTCGACTTTACCCCCAGTCGCAGTGTGACTTGTGTCTTTGCTTCCCTAACAGTATGTTTCGTTCAGGTCTGATAGAGATCTCCACCGTGGACCGAGGAGTGATCAGCCTGTTCGGAGTGAGGAGTGGGCTGTTTGTCGCAATGAACAGCAGGGGAAGGTTATACGGAACGGTACGTTTGTGCGCAACTTCAGAGGCTCCCCCACCCCCTTTTCTCTCTCTCTCTCTCTCCTTGTCACACACACATACACACATATCCTGTTCAGTGTAAGACGAGTTCATATAGCTGCTGCATCCACGACTTTATGAGCGCTGTTGTGTTATTAATATGCCGCGATGATAGGGGGGCTTCCCAGCAGGGTCCAAGAAAGCTTCAATGTTCAAATCTTTTGCTGTGTCAGAATCTGTCAGTGGTTTAAGTATCCTGTTCTCAAGTAAAAGAAGCAGTGGTGCCACGTAGAGTACTCCATTACAAGTAAAAATGCCACACTCACAGTTGTATTTCAGCAAAAGTAACTGTTATCGGAAACAGTGATTTATGAAGTTGCTGTGCAGCAGAACGGCCCACTCAGTGATAATATTTCAGCTTAACCTGCAAAGCAGCTAGAGCTAAAGGTGCATTATTTCCATTTAAAGTGCCCCAGTACCCCAGTGCAATACTTGAGTAAATGTACTTAGTTACATTCCTCGTGTAAAAGAGTCTCTTTCTCATTTTTCCTGAAGCTGCTATGCACAATCAAACGATCTTCAGTGAAATCATGACAGGGAAATTATAGCCAGTCTGTAAAAGTAGGTCAGTTATGACATGCTGTTTAATGCCTTAGATGCCAAATAAAAGGCAAGTGTGTGTGTGTGTGTGTGTGTGTGTGTGTGTGTGTGTGTGTGTGTGTGTGTGTGTGTAATTTCTGTATTTTTAGCTACAGTTGATGTCAAATATCACAGCAGGTCTCTCTTCTTACACTAAAATTTGATTCTACAATATTGTTCTGAGCTGTTTATGTCTCATAAAAATCCTTGAAACATGGACATTTTATAAATCTGAGTCCCATCCAACCTTACAACTTAGTGCTGATGCCTAATAGTGTGTATCTGCAATGACTCTGCAAGCTCAGACTGGCGTGTATCTCACAGTGAAAATGGAAACGATAGTTAGATTTTTAATTTACAGTTTGCTGTGTTGGGCTTTGGGCTGAATATGAAAATCAAACTTATCACTTGTGGTCATAATTTTGCCCTGCTTAGATTGTTAAGTCCGTATTCAAGGTTTTTGACAAGTTTGGTTTCTTTTGTTAATTTAAAAGAAATTAATAATATATAAAAAATATGTCTGTAATTGCCAAAGCCAGTAAAAAATATTGTATTAGCCTTTTTTGCTCCATGGTATGACAGCTTCTAACTACTAGTTGATGAAAATTACAATATTAAAGTCAGAATTAGCACCACTGCTTCTACTTGCCGTACTTTGACTGTGCTTTAATGTTAATTCTTTAACCAAGCAGGATATCTACATGTAACAGAGTTTTCTACACATATATATGTACAACAGATCTGCACTTGTGGCAAAAGAGGGTTTTTTTATGCTAATACAATGTGTCCTAGTAAACACTGTAATGTGTTCCTGTGTTATTCAGCCTTTGATTCCAGCTCGTTCACTTCTCCTTTTGATTAGTGTTAGGATGTGAACCCAGTCGGGAGACTTTTTTTATGAGTTTAGCAGTAAAAGCAGGAGGCCGGTGTCTGCATTTGAAAAGGGCATTTCTTTTGCAACAGCATGCCTGCTCCTCCTGTTTCCCTCAAAGCATGCTGTCTAAGGCAGGCTGTTTTCCAAAGCAGAGGTCATGTGGAAACCATGCATATGTTGTGATGTTCGTACTGCGTCTGTCATGAGATTTACTGACACCCCTCACCCCCTCCCTGCTCCCACCCCTCTGTCCTTCTCTCTTTTTCTAGAGAGTCTTCAAGGACGAGTGCAAGTTCAAGGAGACTTTGCTGCCCAACAACTACAACGCCTATGAGTCTTTTGTTTACAAGGGCTTCTACATCGCCCTCAGCAAGCATGGCCGTGTAAAGAGAGGCAACAAGGCCACCACCGCCATGACTGTCACACATTTCCTCCCACGACTATGAGACAAACTGGCAATAACTTAACAATTTGCACATGTGGATGTTCCTCCAGGTAATATAGAAATGCATAGTAATGATATACACACCCATGGACTGCAAAAGAAAAGACAAATATTTATTCTGATATATAGATATATATATATATAGATATATATATATATATATATATGTATATTTGGATAGTTATCTTTGTATATGTATGCCATACTGTGCTGCTTATTGTTTTTATGGACAGGGGAAAGTTGAAGACTTTGCCTGTCCCACTTTACCTTGGTGCTTGCTGCAACTAAACTAAATGTCACTTCCTTTTGTTTTTTGTTGAGATGGAGGATGAGCTGTATTCTGTGCTTTTGGAGAGTGAAATGAATACTTTTTGTTACCTCAAAGAACCACTTTACTCGATTAAGGGATGCATGGAGTTCTGCTCAAATATCTGCTAAGTTTGTTATTTATTTTTTCCGCAAACCTTTAAGCGCTTGATTATCGATAGCTGGCAGTGGTTAAATTCACTACCTTTGCTGCACGATTTAAAGGTGCCTTGGTGTTCCCACTTGTGGCCCCCTTAAAGTTGCATGTAAGAGACACCCGCTGGAGTCAGAAATAGGGCTGACACACCGAACAGGGCCTCAGAAGGGGGAGGGGGAGGGGGTTGACTATCTCTGGTTTATTTTATTTTCTGTAATTAGATCGATTAAGTAATAAACAATCTGTGGTTGAGACCAGAGAGCCGTCAGCCATGTAGACTGGCACAAGGCCACGAGCTTGACTTTGTGGGATTGCCGAAATATAAACAGGGTGGAATATGTATTTATCCCAGCATGGAGAAAAATTTTATTTGAGCAGATAGAGCGCACAGTAGAAATGTTACAGCACATAGTCTTGGACAGAGCTCCCACAGTAAACTGGGATGCGGTTTTTATTTATTTATTTTCATTTTTTTTCTGAATGGCAAAGATATAGCTGCTATTGAAAATGATGTCTACTGTCCATGAAACCAATGAAAAAAAAACTTTGTAAATAGTTGGCAAATGTAAAAGAAGAAGAATTCAGGAGCTTTTTTTTCTTTCTTCTTTTTTTAAAAACAAAAAAAACCATACAATGCTGCTTTGTTACAGTTGCCTGGATGAGGCGTTAAGAGTTCAGGCTGCACAGTCGACCATCGATGATGGTGCCTCAATGTTCTCTTTGCTTCCACATTTGTTTTTTTTCCTCACATCAGTGAGTTTGGTGGAGGATGTGCATGCCCTGGGGCAATTCCCCTGCTTGAATCTGCTTTCTGCAGCAGCAGCACTGCAGTGGCAGTGAGGTGTTGGAGGTAAATGTTTTGAAATGCAATTCTAGATGACTTTAAGGACTAAAGCGCGGTTCAGCTCGAGGACTGGATCCACATTCTTAGATTTCTTAACTCTGCATCTGTATTTCTGTTGATTTTGATCTTAGTTTGCTATAGCTGAATGGCTGAGCTAGTCAAAAACTGATTATTTAATAAGAAAAGTTTATTAGAGGTGTATTAAGCTTTGCAGACCCGCTGTTAGTGTGCACAAATATCTTGTTATATATTCCAAAGATGTTTCTCTTGCCTCATTCTGAGAATTCCTGAGAGTCTTCCCAAGTACATTCACCCCTGTACTTTCTGCAGCTGTTTACTTTAAAAAAACAAAAAAACAAACAAAACAGAACTGACGAACGCTTGATCATCTGCCTCTGTCTGTGCCTGTGACAGAGGAAACAGGACTATTTAAATCCAGGAAAGACGTATGTGACAGAGCTGGCCTGCTGTCTTTGTTGTTCTTCAAACCTGCTGCAGGAATGCAGATCTGCCAGGATGACAGGCAGCTTTCCACATACCTGAGCTCTATCCCACCCTCCCACCTCTGCCTGTCCCTCACCCCACAGCTTACTTGCTATAGCAAGAGACCTTGGGATTCCAGCTGTAACCCAGGAGCTTCCTCCTCTCCTTTCAGCCTTTTTTAGTTCAAGGTCAGAGTTACGGACCCCGACCCCAATGACCAGGGTGGTCTTCTATATGGGTCGGACTGTCTTAAGGCCTCAAAAACACATTTCTAATAGTTCCTTTTACCTGCAGTATTTTCTGAAACAGCACTACATCCTATGAAACTAGAGCACCACCTCTTTAAAATACAGCCCTGCAACTTGCTGTCAACTCCCCTTTCTAAATAGTCATGTAGGGATATTTCTGTGGAGGGGACATCTGCAGAGTTAATGCAGTATGTGGGGAGCAGAGTCACGCAAAGCCTCACCTCACCTCTCCTGCTGCACTCTAGTCCTTTAGGACAGCTCCCCAGCCATCCTCAGGGCGTGCCCTCTGCTGCTGTTGCTGCTGCTGCTGCTGCTGCTGAGCTCCATCTGCACCCCAAAATTTGAACACACCACGCTGCTCATTTAATCATAACAGTGTTCTTCTCCAATCTTAAATGGCTTGTTTCTGCTCTGAGGGCATTTTTTGCAAATGCCAAGGCTATATACAGCAAAGCAAATGTAGCTCAAAATGTCAGCAAAACAAACAAAGGGAAAAAAAAGGCTCATTGTTGTCATTGATGAGGCTGTGTGTCATATCGCTGATCTCCTCGGGAGTAAACCGTTGTGAATCTGTATTTTCAGCTGAGCAAGACGTGAAAGCAAAGAGCACTTCTCTCAGCCAGCACCCTAATCAAGATGTCCAAAGTCTCTGGCAGCCCCTTATCAAGGACATCTTGATTAGAAACAAGTGTAAGGAAGCGACTTTTCAAACAATATCGGTCATGAAAAACAATCTCTAAAAGAGGGAAAGTTTGTGTCTAAAGCAAAACACTCACCTATCAGCTTTGACCAAAAAAGAAGAAGAAAGAAATGTATCCAGATTTATCTGTTTTCTTTTCTTCCATTTTCTTATCATAGGTCAAATTTAATTAAGTCAAGGTGAGGAATTTCTTTAAAAAAAAATAATGATTAACATACTTTAGCTCTGAATCTGATTAAGGGTGTGTGCTTTTTCTCTGTTTTTTTGTTTTGTTTTTAAATCCTTCTCTATTCCTCTCCTCTGTTCTCATATACCTCACCTTCTGCCTTAGTTTTGGTTTGCTGATGACTGTAAATGAAAAGAAACAAACTTCAGTTATTTGTTTCTGAAAACAGACAATGCTAAGTAAGGATATTAAAGTTTTTTCTTTTTATTTTTGTACGTATGTGCTGTGCACAGCAGTCTACTGTATTCCTGAGATACCAATAAAAGTTTGTTTTGGTTTTTTTAAAACTGCTTGAAAAGGTGTGATTCTTTGTGTAGCACTGGTTAAACTCTTTATCTCTTTAAACTCTTTTACCTGACAAGCTGGAGGTGAATCTGACTAAGAAAATCAACTGTCACTGCTCACTTTTCACAAGGTAGAGCAACAAACTCTCCCTAACCCTCCTTTGTTACTCTAAGTTGAACCATAAAAAAATCATAGTGAATTCAGCAAAACAAAACTTGAAAGTGAAGTGAACAGAAGTGAAATATATATATATATATATATATATATATAGCATGCCTGTTGGTTGTGAGGGAAACAATATTTTCGCATAGACCTTTTTCCTCAGTATTCTGATTTAATCAGAATTCAGACGTTATTGTTGCCAGAATTAGTTGTAAAAATTTCTTCCAGAATTCTTACTTTTCTATAATAATCACAAAAAGTTCATTAAAAATACTACTATAAAAATGCGCTAATCCTCTTCCCTGCAAGTGAGCAGTATTTTCTAGATGACTTCCACACAACCTTTTTGCAGTCTAAAGAGTCGCCCCCTGCTGGCCATTGGAAACAATGCACAATTGAGGCAATTCAACTATAATACACTTTTCAACCCCAGACAAACATCTGTCTTAGAGTGTAGTAATTCATACAGCAGGTCCAAGTGTAGGAGTCAGGCCTCCTCTGAAGGCCACATGTTAAATCTAAAGGCTTGTTGGCTGTACAGAATGAATAAGCTTACTTTCCACCACTGGTATTTAACATTTCTGTTAATTTTTTTAAACTATTTGGCTGCACTTAATGGTCCTGATTTTCACAAAACTGAAGCGTGAGTTTACTTTAGAGTGATGTTCTGGGGAAACTATTCTGTCACAGTCTTGCTATCAGACTTTCGTTTCTCTGCTCTATATAAGGAAGTGTCTCCCTCTGCTGGTCAAACACAGGGACTGTTGAGCTCTGCAGGTGCGCAAAGGCAAACTGAACCAGCACACAAGTCTAGTCCACCGTGGTTAACCGGTTCTGTTAAATATATATAATAAGCTATTTAATTTAAAATGTACGTCTTAATTATAATCAGTTAAATTATACTATGACCCGTGTCTGGTTTGATTAAAAATAAAATGTAAGTTCCGGGGTTTTTTTCCTTTTAATTTACCCTGTACATCGTTTTACACCAAACTAAAGCAGGAATTATTTGGTAACAGGTCTAATTTAAGGTGGATGAGTCAAGACTAACCAAAAATAAGAGTTCTGTTGTTTGACCAGCAGCATCGGTGTAAACAGACAGAGGTGGAAGTGGCCCTTCCGCTGCAGCAAACCCGCACATCTGCTTTGGGGGCGAGTTTCTTTTTTTCTTTTTTTTCTTTTTTTTACCCAAAGGATGTGAGCAGGAGTGGCGCTCGGGGGGCTTTAAATAGGAACTGTCTCCAAACTTTGCGACAACAGAGCATCTGAAAACTTCCAGGAGCTCGAAGTTTGAACCAGAATGGAGGTCAACAGGCGAATGGGGATGAGAGACACCGTGCTGGCGCTCTTTCTCGCTGTCTTGCAGGGATTTCCTCTCGGGGATACGGTCCCGAACCCATCACCTCTGGTTGGATCCACCTGGGGGAACCCAAGGAGATACGTCCACCTGCAGACATCCACAGACCTCAATAACTTCTACTTGGAGATCAGATTAGATGGGAGTGTGCGCAAAACTACGTCCAGGAGCACCTATAGTAAGATAACTCTAATATTTATGCTGTAGTATAATGAAAGTCTGTATTCTTGTATGATTATTATTCCTTTCTCCTCCTGCAGGTGTGATTCTACTGAAATCTGAAGCAAGAGATCGTATCGCCATCCTCGGCGTCAAAAGCAGCCGTTACCTGTGCATGGACC